TGAACAACACAAGTACTATACATCTTCTCCCACCTTAACCTTAACCCTGCTACTTCTGTTCATGTTATCTTGTCTGTTTTCCCTTCAGTGGTGGGTGGTTTTGTCTGTGTTTTCTTGCCCACAAGGCAAAATCCCTCGTCCCAAGGGGTCCCCACACCCTGGGTCAAAAGGATTGTGGAGGGTAAAGAACCAATGTCTGGTACCCACAAAGAGTCACCCCCACACTACGGCTAGCAGGACTCGTTCTTGCTCACAATTTGTCACCCAAGAACTAATTGAGTTAACTGGACTCGTTCTTGCCCATAATTTGTCACCGAAGAACTAACTGAGTTAACTGTGCGGGCGTGATTTTGATGTTGGGGGTTGTGTTATGCAGGTTGGTTGATGCAGGTGTGTTGTGCAGATGAGAGGGAGGATACATTTGGCTGTTGGTGTGTTTTTCATTTGTGTACTATTGCAACTACTCCAGACTTCTGCTAAGACTGTGTTAGTACTGTGTTTGTTTGTTTGTGTGCAACCAAAACCATCCAAAAGCTAAACTTAGTTACTAAAATCTTATTATCATCTTCTGCCATTACACACATTTTGCATTTAGAGCTCCAAATCTCCAATTCAAGTGGTGTCAAATAAGTGGGTCAACCCACCATCTATTCAGTTACTATTTGGATTGGACCAAGGTCGCTAAGTTAAAAAGTGACAATGGAGTTTAAACACAGCAATCTCAAACAGATAGGATATAAACATCAAAGAATATGGCACCCGTTATTTGCAGCTTGCCTGTGGAGCTCCTTAGTCTCCCTTTGCGCTTTGTCGAGATTCTCCCTCAGCTTACGAATCTCATCGTTGGATCTTTCCTGGGCTTCTCTCGCACTTGCCTCAGCCTGAATACGGGCACTGTGCTCTTTTGCCAATTGCTCCTCGAGCCTATGAGTCGTCTCCTTCAGCTTAGTCTCCACCTGCCAATGCATAATAAGACTTAGGCCCTGTTATGAACAGATACTTGAAAACCGAGTTCTAACTGAGAAAACTAGAAGAACAGCATGTATTCCATCCTTGGCCATGTTGATGCACTTAACAATTTCTTTCCCGATAAACTCAGATTCACCAGAAAAACCAAACAACCCTGCAAGAACCAGTAAACGTTCCAATACAACTAAAACCATTTTTACCATAAAAGAGAAAACTTCAAATGGACTTCATATAAATATATTTGGAAGATTAATAACATTAACATACCAGGAGTGTCAATGACATTGATAATCTGCCCATCGTCCAACACAGTTCTCTGGAACTCACAGGTGCTCGTGACACCAGCCGAGCTCATCATCGAGTTGAATTTTCTCCTTCCAAGAATACTGTTACCCGTAGCACTTTTCCCGTTTCCAGTCCTTCCAACTAAAACCAAAGTTCTTCCATAAGCCGACTCCCAATCCTCACAAATCTCACTTCCACCCATTATCTGCCAAAAAACACATCATGATTTCCAGAAATCCACAAACAACATTAAATCAATTCACTAATCACTAATCAAAGTGGAACAACAAAGAACATCATCAATGAATGGAGATGTATGAATTACTATCTTGTAAAGACAAAAACATGGCAAAAAGGGACAATTCCGGCCAAGTTGGTCAGACTCTTGGCCTGCTGGTTTGAGCCAGTCAGCTCAGCAACCTAAGCTGGTTTACCCAGTACATACACTCGGATTGTGAGTGCAAGTTTATCTCGTGACCCAAAGATCATGGCAAACATCCAACAGACTAGAAATCCAAAAGCACCAAATCAACAACATGCTTAAACACAATTAAGGTAGATAGATGAAGGAATTGGCTAACCTTGAGTGATGGTTTTTGCTGTAGAGGGAGAAAGTGATACTTTGCTTGCAGGAGAAAGAAACTAGTGGTGAAGATACTTTTTTTTGGGAGCAAAGAAGATGTGATTTAAATGTTTTGGAATTTAGAAAGTTGCTGGCATATCATTATTCTTTATTATTCTATCTAAAACAACCAACACGCCAGCATTCATTGGTGCAGCCTGCAGATCAAATATCAATAAATTGGGCAGCACAATACTTTGTTTATTGTGCTGACCATAATTAATTACAAAATATCAATGGTTCGACTTCCGGTATTGGTGGGAATTGAAATGTTTCTTGAACAGTTGACATGCATGCATATCCCATTGAAGATGATTGACCTGTGAGCATATACACCTGCGGAGAAAATGATGGTCGAGAGGGAGTTTTAGGAGATGATGTGTGACCAGTGAGCATATACACCTCCAAGATGATTTTGGGATTGTTACTCTTTTTTTTTTCACAAATCTGAGTTTGGCATTATATTGGTTTGGATTAGTAGTCATTTTAATGGCGGTGGTGGGAGAAGATTCGGTTATAGGTGGCTGCTGCTATGCAAGTTTTGTAATACAATGAGAAATTAACGAGTAATCTTTCTAAATATGGAAAATTATTTCATATACTGAATTAACACCCAGAAAAATTTTAATAAATATTTTTATAAACTCTACACAACCTTTTTAAATATGGAAAATAATTTTATATACTAAATTGACCCACAGACAAAATTTGAAAATTGATTTAATAAACTCTAGACAACCTTTCTAAATATGAAAAATTATTTCATATACTAAATTGACACCCAGAAAAATTTTAATAAATATTTTTATAAACTCTATAAAACCTTTTTAAATATGAAAAATAATTTTATATACTAAATTGACCCCCTGAAAAATTTTGAAAAATAATTTTATAAACTCTAGACAACCTTTCAAAATAAGGAAAATAATTTCATATACTAAATTGACCCCCTAAAAAATATAGAAAAATAATTTTATAAACTCTAGATAACCTTTCAAAATAAGGAAAATAATTTCATATACTAAATTTACCCCCTGAAAAATTTTGAAAAATAATTTTATAAACTCTATACAATCTTTCTAAATATGAAAAATTGTTTAATATACTAAATTGACCCACAGAAAAAAATTTAAATAATAATTTTTTAAACTCTAGATACCTTTCAAAATAAGGAAAATAATTTTATATACTAAATTTACCCCCTGAAAAATTTTAAAAAATAATTTTATAAAGTCTATACAACCTTTCTAAATAAGAAAATTTTTTTAATATACTAATCTGACCGACAGAAAAAATTTTAAAAATATTATTTTAAACTCTAGATAACCTTCAGAAGTTGTTTTCTCCCCTATCCCCCAAGTGGTGTCAAACTTTAGTTCAGAATTATTAATTTTATCAATTTAAAATAATTAATATCTTATAAAAATAACTCTTTAATATAATTCTATTATTTTCTTGAAAATTAAAACAAATAGAAAAAAAAATCTAGACTTTCAGCCAAACACCAAAAAGTAAAAATATTTTTGGTGAAAACAACTCTTGCAAATTAACTCTATAATATGTTAGCCAAATACCATGTTTTGCGTAAAATGAGTCATTTTATAAAATAACCCTGAAAATAAACTCTATAATATATTTTTATTCTTTTTGAAAATTAAACAAAATAGAACAAAAAATTATGACTTTCGACTAAACACCAGACCAAAAAATGAAAACACTTTTTAAAAAATGAGTTATTTTTTATAAAATATATTTCAAACCGACCCTTAAAATATACTTTACAAGAATAGGATAGCACATCGAAGCAAATAAATAGAGAATGCATTAAATTATTAAAGTGGCACCAAGTAGGATGATCAATGCAGTCAAGCTTTCTAAACTAAATTGTTTCCAAACTAAATTGTTTTAACAGATATGATATGAACATCAAGAAGTTTGTCAAAGAATATGGCACCCGCCATTTGCAGCTTGCCTGCGGAGCTCCTCAGTCTCCCTTTGCGCTCTCTCGAGATTCTCCCTCAGCTTACGAATCTCATCGTTGGATCTTTCTTGGGCTTCTCTCGCATTCGCCTCAGCCTGCAAGCGGGCGTTGTGCTCTTTTGCCAATTGCTCCTCGAGCCTATGGGTCGTCTCCTTCAGCTTAGACTCCACCTGCCAATGCATAAGTTTCATAAATGGCGAGTATAACAATGGCACCCGTTGCTTCCCTAGCTAACTATCATGGATTATTCCACCCTTTGACACACATAGATGATCTCAAAAGGGCAAAGGCCAACTTCACTAAAACGGGGAATAGTTCTATTTCACAAGAATGGATATCGTGGAGAGTATACACATATTGACTAGTCACTAATGTTTTTTTTTTTTTTATGTAAACCACAATGTGGTCTGGGTCTTTCTCTATCCGTTTAACGGTCCAAGTCCACCCGGTTCGCTCCGAGAGGCACAAAAGCTGGTCCAGAGGGAATCGTCACTTGTGGGAATTAAACCCGGGTTATCCCGGAATTCTCCCCACAAAGAGAGCTCATTTGCCCCTTGAGCTACCCTGTTGGGTTCTAGTCACTAATGTTAGCACAACGCAATAAAGACTTGATCTCAAACTAGTCAGGTTTGGCTTTAAAGAACCATATTCCCTTTGGTTTAGACCTCAGTAATGTCAGTTCAGCATGTTAAAATAAACGACTTCAATTAACATACCATTTCAGTGATGCGCTTAAGTTGCTCTCCATACGATTTTTGCATTTGATCCTTCAATGAAGATATCTCTTGTTTGGTGTATCCGTTGGAGGACTCAACTTCTGCGGCTTGATTGCGAAGTCTAACTGCTCCATCCTGTTGAATAACAGAATTAACATCCCGGGTGATATTAGTCATATTACAATCAAAAGAACATAAACAATGAGCACAAAGAACGACATACCCTCAAGTCCGAGAATATCTCATCAGTGTATGGTACCCCACAGTTCCGTTCTAGCACCATGTTTACGAGGCTAAGTAGTTCTCTCATTTGTTTAGATTTCTTCGATTCATCTCTCGTCTTATTATCAAAAAGAACTTTCCTATTTCCACACTTCTTAAGAATTTCCTGAAATAGAAGGACACCATAAATCCAAAAAATATCACACATAAGACAATCAAAAACTAGTAGACCGTCAAATTAGAATACACTAAACTATGAATATGAAGAAGCTGCACGCAGATTATATTATACCTTCAAAGGCTCAGGACAGTTACGACCTAAATAACCATCCAAAGTTTCTTCATTATCTTCGAGATCATCCCCACCCGTGAAAACAACAATCATGTAATCAGCCAATTTGCTTCCAAAAAAGTCGCACAAACTCTGGACAGCAGCTTCTTCTTCTCTTGAAAATCGGGTTCTAACCGAGAAAACTACAAGAACAGCATGTATACCATCTTTGGCCATGTTGATGCATTTAACAATTTCTTTCCCAATAAACTCAGATTCACCAGAAAAATCAAACAACCCTGCAACAACCAGTAAACGTTCCAATACAAGCCACACTCAAAACAACTAAAACCATTTACCATAAATGAGAAAACTTCAAATCGACTTAAAGGTAAACACCTCAAACAGTAATAATAACATCATATAATCCATATTTGGAAGATTAATAGCATGAACATACCAGGAGTGTCAATGACATTGATAATCTGCCCATCGTCCAATACAGTTCTCTGGAACTCACAAGTACTGGTTACACCAGCCGAGTTAGTCTGCGACTTGAATGCTCTCCTTCCAAGAATACTGTTACCAGTAGCACTTTTACCATTCCCCGTCCTTCCAACTAAAACCAAAGTTCTTCCATCATCCGACTCCCAATCATCATAAACCTCACTTCCACCCACACTTCCACCCATGATCTGAGACCAAAACCAAAATCACATCATGATTTCCAGGAATCCACAAACAACATTCAATCAATTCACTAATCAAAGTGGAGCAACAAAGAACATCATCAATGAATGGTACACATATGAACAAAAACATGGCAAAAAGGGGCAACCCCATCCAAGCCGACAATGTTACAAGTTCGACTCCCAATAGAAACAGCCTATCCACCTTATTGGTTCGAGCGGGTCAGCTCGGCAACCTAAGCTGGCTTACCCTACAGTTCTAAGGGGAGGCGGGGTTTACTCAATACATAAACTCGGATAGTGAATGCAGGTTTACCTCATCACCCAAAGAACATGGCAAACATCCAACAAACTACAAATCCAAAAGTACTAAATCAACAACATGCTTACACACAATTAAGGTTGATCAATGAACACTAAAAAACACGCAATTACGGAGCACTAGCATTCAAATTTCAACAAAAGGGTAGCCAGAAGAAATCCCTTCACGGCCAAAAACCCAACCTTTATGTTAGGCATGAATCGATGGCAAACAAACAAAAAATCAAATTTTGAAGCGAACCCAGAATCACAAAACAATTGAAAACACGCCCAACAATTAGAAAACAAATGAATTTAAGATAGATAAAGGAATTGGCTAACCGTGAGTGATGGTTTTTGCTGTAGTCTGTAGAGGAGAAAGGGATGACTTTGCTTGCAGGAAAAAGAAACGACGACTTACACAGTGGTGGTGAAGATACATAAGGATACTTCATATCAAATGACAAAATAGCCCTCCACTGTTTGCCGACAATAATAGAGCTGCAAGGGCAGTCTTGACATTTAGGTATCTGCTAATCCTAATTTTTCTCTAACGCACGTAAAATATGATACCATAATTTAATTTACCAATTTTTTTATAGAATGTTTAATTTACCAATTTTTTATAGAATGTTTGATTGCTTGATGACTCGTTTGTTTGATGTGACAACTTTTTTAGTTGCATTAAATTAAACATTTAAAAAAAATACCTTAGTAATTAAGGGTACATTTTATTATTAAAGTATCTTTCTTAGGGTCTGTTTGTTAAGTGCATCAACATGGCCAAAGATGGTATACATGCTGCTTTTTTTATACATACTGTTTGTTGTTCAGAGCTTATGCGACTTTTTAAACTCAGATTTAGAGCTTATTTAAGTATTTATAATTTATTTTAAATTTTTAAAGAATTCGCAAGATGACATGATGTTTAATGTGCTTGAACAACATCGGGATTACATACTGTCCGATTAATTTCAAGATTCAAGTAGTAATATCTCTATCATCGAAAATTTAAGTGAGATCTCTATTGAGATGAATGAGATTCGCAATAATTATGGAAAGCTAGATCATATGATTATACTAATAGTTTAATTTCAAAATGGTAAATTTTAATATGCGAATAAACCAATTTAAATTTTATGAAGATATCTTTTTTAATTTTTCTTTTTACATTTATCATCTTATCAAAAAGTTAATTTTAACATAATCAGCTAGTTTAATAGCTTTTTAGTTTTCAGTTTCTAATTTATAACTTTTTAGTTTTCAGCTAGGTTTGTCAAACATAGCCTTAATGAAATTCACATTAAAATATACTCATTACTTCTCAAGTCTCAACTCATTTAAGCATCCGGCTAGATGCTTTTTGATGTTTTTCTCTTGACCACATATGCTCTTTAATGTTTTATTGTTTCTCACAATTACTATTCAAAGATGTTATAATAGCCGACAAACTATATCATAACCTTCTATACGAAAATTATATTTTATCCACTCAATCACCTCTTTTTTGACAAATTCGACAACTTTGGTTTACCTATTTCATGACTTCTTAAGCTTTACCAATGATGCATGAGAGCCACTCTACCAAATGGAAGGATTTGTTACCGTCAATTATATCCTGAATCCCATGAACCAGATTCAAACCTATGATGAAGTAAATCAAACCAATTTTGCTTCAAAACTCAACATTAAATTGTACATTTCTATCATAAGCAAGTCTTCTTCATCCACTAAACCAATGCCCCAAGGCTAATATGCACATTATTATTTATGTATATATTATGCTTGAAAATGCTGCTAGTCACACTTTGGAGCTTCCATATCTCATATTCACTGGCAAACTGATTTCTGCACAAGAAAACTTTGAGTTATTACACATCTTTGGGTTTCATAAAAAAGGGGGGAAAAAAAGCTATTTTCACTTTCTGAAAAAGAATCCATCTGTGCTGCTTCTTGAAGATGTTGAACCCTCTACTGAATCTGAGCAATCTCAAGCAAAATTTTGTGCAGTGACTGTGGCTTTGAGAAGAAAGGGCAATGATCACTGCCCTTGATCTTGAAGACTCCTTCAGGAGGGTTTTCCCTGACAATCTTTTCTTGGGCATCGGGAGAGAGCGCGTTGTCATCCAATGTTTGGACATAGAATCTCCGGCTGGTCCCATAGTTCTCGGGTGTCAATGACAGCTTCTCCATCATCGGGCCGAGAGGTATGGGTCTCATTGAAGCCATTGCCAGAGCCATATCCTGAAACCATCAAACGAGACCAATGCTAGCTCAACAAAGCTGTCTTTCCTCGAATTTTCAGTTAGTGTATTCATATTTCTCGTCTGTTGCTTGGGGAAGGGCGTTTTTTATCCAAAAACTTTAGTTTCATGGATTGTGTAAGGACATTATCACTTCAATAATAAACCAGATACACGAATTAGTTGCTTAATGGTATGTAAATGATGCAAACCCCTCTGCGATTTATGTGTATATTGAACTCATTTTCTGGTGCATTAGAACAAAATTTAAGTAGAATATACTTATCCCGATGGTTGATTACAAACTCGAGATAAATTAATAGAAGAATGCTTTTAGAGTTACGCTTAACTGATGAGAGTACCTTCGTTGGAGATTGATTGAAATATAACCCCCGCATCTGCTCCTTCTCAAACATGAAGCTAGTAGCGGGCTTGTCTTTACCATTGCCATAGACCAGAAACTTGGAATCCTGCAATAAAAGTTCTGCAGAACCAAGCTGCAGAGGGGATTCGTTTTGAGCAAATTTAAGAATGAAAATGACTAGTAGAAAAATTATGAATCATGTCCAATCTGTTCGGGATTGAAAAACATCGACATACTTAGGTATGAACCATGTCAATTTTAGACAAGAGCAGATATTGTCTTGACATGTTAAAACTCCGGTTTATAAGACAATTATTTTCTTGTTTCTAAGTTCTAACAAACCATCGAAAAAACTTCACCCGCAGCCAAAGCACGATTATCTTGCATATAACAAAATTTTGAATATGTTATATATACCTCTTCAGCAAACACGTCGAAAGGTCTCTGCCCATCAGATATCATTGTAGCACAAAGGAAAACTGCTTTTGCGATTCTTTGGGAAAAATGTTCCAATGCGTATGAAATGCAAGCACCTCCGGTACTATGACCGACCAAAATCACCTAGAAGAAGAATGCATAAATATACTTATTTCTGCTGAAATATCAAGATGATCTCCGCTAGAACAAAGGAAGAGGAAATGAACCAATCTTGCAAAAAGTCGCTTACTTTTTCATCATCTGGTAAGTTCTGGAGATAATCAATCAAAGGCTTCGAGTATTCTACCAGTGTTGTTATACTGTTCGTATCTGTCAGATCGATGCCAGATCCTGTGAGGTCCAAAGCCGTAGGATGCAATCCCGTTTCCTCCAGTAAAGCAACAGTTTTGTACCAACACCAAGCTCCAAATCCCTCTCCATGTATCAAAACAAACTTCTTCGTTTTAATTTTCTCCAAGATTTCCATTGACTGCGGCAGATATTTCTCATTAGTTCAACTTCACACTTGTTTGATGGTTTTCATTCAAATCAACTGTTTCCTATCATGTTTTCTCCTTTTGATTAATTCAGTTCCTCTGCAAATATATTTTAATTGGAGTTCGATTTCCAGGATACTTATATTGATGAAGAAAAGACGTTAATGTGTGATTATAAGGTTCCATAGGGGAACCACCCAAGGTAGAAAGCTCAGGACAAAAACATTGGCTATAAAACATTAAAACGGATTATAAAAGAGAAAAAACTATAAAATTCTAAGTCAATCCAGAATACAAATGATAATTAGCATCTGAAACTAAAACATAATAAACTGCATAAAGAAGTATACAGAGATAGACCATTCATCAGTTCAACATCAACCACCTCCCTAGTTCCAGGCCACCTATTATGCAACAATGGCAACCAAATATGTATCTATGCATGAATAATTGAATATAATGCGAAATTCAGACATCAACAATGATTTGCACATTAAAGAGAGATATCGATAGACTGTTCTTGCCTTCAAAGTCAAGATTCACTAATCACTATTTAAATAGCTAGAAATCTTGAATGCCCTTTTTATCGCTCTCTCTTGACACATAGTTAAGTAGCACAGCCAATCTCCATAGAAGTATTGTTATTTCTAGCCTGCACGGGCAGCTAATAGGTTCTTGAGTGGAAGATAGTAGGCAATGATACAGAATCGAGTCTTAGCCGTAGTGTGAGAGTTATACCTAGCACTCTTCATCTCACTTAATGGGCCGCTAAATCACCGTAATTTAACCCTCCACTGTCTTGTGAAAGGGAATTTCGACTTTTGTGAGCAAATATTACTATTTCTAGTATTACTTGCATTGGGCATAGTGAAGACTGTTGTTTTAATCTTCAATCATTGCATAAAAAGACAGTAAAATTAATGGCTATAGGAATAGAAAAAAGCCACCTAGCATCTACAATAAATATCTGAACTTGATTAGCCTTCTCCTTTTTCATCTTTTCCTAATTCCTATCCCTCCTAAAACTTTTTTTTTAGGCATCTCCAAAAGGGGGAAAGAGTTCATCAAAGGAAATAGCAGCAAAACTAAAGAGGGTTCAGCTAAGAAGATTATAGGTCTAAAAATCACCACGAACTATAATGGAGTAAGAAACAGTAACGAAAAGCCAAAATGGTGACCTGTTTAGAATCGTTGAGAGATTCCGGCAAGTCGTTGCGGCGGCGAGAAGCGGTGGGCCCAATCCGGCGCGACATGGACCCCTCGAACCGCTGAGACAACTGGTGCTGCTGAATCGCCATCGCCAAAGCTTGCCTCTGCAGCAACTCCTCTTCCATCGCCGACCTCCGCCTCGACCTCTCCGCTCTCTTGCTCCGCGACCCTACCGCGCCCCCGCCGCTTCTCCCATTCTCCCCCCGCGAATCCTTCTTCGCCATGCACATAAACCCGTTACCCATTTCTCCCCCCGAGCAAAACCCAGAAATCCCCTCTTCCGAATTGCCGAGGAGAGAGCGGAAACAGATGATAATTGAATGGAGACAACGACAGAGATGAGGAAAATCTGGAGAAAACAACTCAACTCAACTGAATATGCAAGCAATTTAATACTCTTATCATCTTTTATGGTGTTCGCCGTTTTTCTTCTCTCCTCTCTCTCTCTCTCTCCTTTCTCTCTCCCGAGTCTACGTATACATAATTTGTCTCTTTCATCAGTAGCCTTTTCTCTGCAACTGTAATAAGGATGAGCATATACATATACATATATATACATATATAGTATAATATAACAAATTTTAACATTTAATATAGTAGCCGTTTATAAATGCAACCTTTTTCCCTTTACCTGATATAAACGCCTAAATATAGCCAATTGTAGTAAGTCCGATTCACATTTGTATCCATAATAATACGGAGTATTCAATATAATATGCTTCGAAAGAGATAATCAAGGGAAAATGACACTTTTTCCACCTAAGTTATATACTTATAGCACTTTTTCCTAATCAATTATTCAAGTGGCTGTTTTTTTCCCTAAAATGTTAAATGGACATATTTACCCTTAAAATAAATATTTTATTTATTTTTCTTCTCCAACAAATTATGACAATAATTTGGTTTAAACCAAATAAACACTATAGCAATCAACCGAAATATTCCAATTACAATTTAGAATCGAAACTCGATATTTAGAGTTTATTAAAATCCCGGAACGGACGGTTCATGTTCCGAACTGAAAAATAAAATACATTTATTGTTGAATTTAGACTATTTTTAAAATAAAAATAAAATTTTAAAATAAAAACGGTTCAAAATCGCGAATCGGGTCCGGAACCGCCGGTTCACGGTTCAGGATCCAATTTTTTTGATTCATAATTTTAATAAATTGAAATGCAAATATTGGATTCTACATCTGAATCATAACCGAAAACTTTTAATTCGATTGATATAGTGTCCGATTCAGTTCGAACCGAATCGTGGTCATCCCTACGTATACGCAATAATTTGTTGGAGAAGTAAAATAAATAAAATGTTTATTTTAAGGGTATAAATGTCAATTTAATATATTAGGAGGAAAAACCACCACTTTTAGAATAATTAAAGGGGCTAATGTGCTTACCTAAATAATTGAGGGGGAAAAAGTTCTATATGTATATAATTCAGGGGGAAAAAATGTCATTTTCCTGATAATCAAATAAGTGGAGTATAATTTTTTTTAATTAAATTTGTCTTTTTTTTTTTTTTTTGAATGCTAATAGCTCTATTACATTGTAGTATCTGTACTGAAACACAAAGAGCTAATAACGCCTCCATTAAGGCTCGAACTTACAACCTTCCAAATGGAAGTCCAACCCAGGTACCATTGGACCACATAGTCCTGGTAATTAAATTTGTCTAATTGTTTTCATCTTATGATCGTTCATTTAAAATTTTGATATTTATCTATTGTTATTATAACAATAATATTTTATATTTTTATTATAATTAAATTAACTTACCTGTTTTAGAAAGAAATAAAGTATTCAAAATTGGCATTAATATGAGTTGGAGGAATTGTGACAGCTTTTGGTATTGGTCATAGGAATTAGTTGGAACTTTGACTTATTATTGCCGTTTTTCATGATTTATTTATTTATACGAAAAGGTACTAATAATACTGCCATGATTCAATGATTTATTATTACACAAAAGTAAAGTTACACTGGTTACATATTTTTCTTGTCATTCAAAAAAAAAAAAATATGATCATGATGTTATCCTTTGATGCTTGAGAGATAGGCTGCAGACGGATAATATACTTATTTTTGTATATTTGTTTAGTCTATTACTTTATTATGTTAACGAATTTTATGTGTCACTATTTTTAATGTCGTATACGTAAAAATGAATAAGAAAATCATTAGAAGAAATTGTTTTTCCTTCTCTTTCGAATTATTTTGATATAATTAAAATACCTAATGCAATTTATCACTTATGTGTGGTTTGCATGCTAATACATAATAGCGGAGTTTATCTAGTGTACACCCTCAAATAATGACTACAAGTTTCTATTGTCACCAAACAAAGATACCATTTTCCTCTTTCTTCTTTAAAAAAAAAATAAATAAATAAATAAAAATAAAAACTATAGGCAGCAACGCAAAATAATTTTTCATTAATTATTATTTGAGAACGGAAATGCTGCAACATCATATGTAAATTGGCTTTGGGTAGTGACTTTAATGAGTTCATCAAGAATTGATCGAGCTTGAATTTGAAGAAGTTGCGAGTCATCATTGAATGCCACTCACAAGTTGGTGTCTAATCTCCTCAAAGCATATAATTGGATATGAGAGTAACTAGTTCGGTATATTTGAGAGAATATACTAAAGTTTGAACCTCAGTATCGATAGTGTGAGAATTATACTCAAGTGGACAGATTCCTTATGCGCATCAGTATTTGACCCTGCCTAATGTTTCAATCCAAATGAGTAGTCATAAGTTCGAACCCTAATGGTGGGGTTTAAATTCTTAAGACCGAAAATGTTTGAAAAAATATAAAACAAATACTACCAACTTAAAATTAGATTCTCAATAAGATGGAATGATAGTTATGTTTTGAAAAGTTACCAATCAAACACTAACTATGATTTTGATTCTTATTCTTGATGTATAATTGTATAGTAAACCCATGAACCAAATACACCCTAATGAAAGTAGTATCAATCAATGCCACTCAATTTTTTTTTTTTTTAAATGTCACTAATTAGGTATGTACATATATATTTTGCAAAATTTCAATATTGACTCCATTAAAATTTTAAAAAAATAATAAAATAAATTGGAGGGTTCAATATATAAATACAAAAATATAATTATATACATAGGAAAGTAAATATCTAAAATCTTTCATAAAAGTACATATTTCCATTTCATTTCTCTCTCAATGCTTTTCAAAATACCGGTTTCTACCAAACAAAGTATCCATCTTTTGCATAAAATGAGTAACTTTTATTAATAAAATTATTTACATTTTCTATATTTTAAAATAGTTGTATTAAATTAGCCAAATTGAATTCATTGATTTGACACCTCTAGTATCAAACTCTAAGGTATGTCCCTGTCAATAACAATAAAAATTCTTCCATGAACTTTATTTCATGAAGTAGACGTTGCATACCACTTGACTATGGAGGTTTAAATTTATTGGACATCAATAAATGACTTGTCTAGTATATGCATGTTTATTGTAATCTTTGAAAAAAAAAAAAATTATTTATGAAAAAGTTCACATCTGCTATCTGAAAATGCAAATGAAAAACTGACAAAAATCTACAATGAGATAAACTAACTTAAGCTGACAATCTCAAACTTTGAAAAACTATTGTATATTGTACCAAAGTTTTTGTAATGAAATTAAGAGATTTTATCATGATAACTGTCCCTAGAAACAATACCCTTTATGTCCTCTAATTCTTTGAATTAGTCAAATGTGAGCATAATTGAAGTGCACATCTACTTTTGGAAGCAAAAGAAATTGCCATTTGACTAAAGTTAAAGAAAGCAATACACCACCAATTCTTTTTCTTCAGTATAAAGCAACATCATCTTTAGTCATTAAGTGTGGATAAAATGGTAAAATTCTCTTCAAACTTGACCAAAAGTCTTAGGTTCAAACATAAACTACTCAACACAAATAGAATTAATTTTGGTGTGCACTTGTAGTTAAGAAAAAAAATATCTTCCCAAATAATGAGGAATTTAAAATGCCAAAAGACCCCATGGAATTCCGATTCCTCACATTTTTGGGCTTGAAACTTCAAGATTTTTTTTTGGGAAATAAAATACAAAGAAATTAAAATAAACGCATAATCAAAACTTCAAACTTTGAATTTCAAGTCAAGCCGATTGTGTAGTTAAAATCATAAAGAAAGTCTACAATACCAACCAACACCAAGTACAATTTGAAAAATTTTAAGGGACATGTCCACATTGTACTAGATACAAAGATTGAGGTAAACTAAACTTTATGATTACCAAACCAACTCAATTGGGTATACCCCAACAATATTGTCTTTCTAATTTTGAATCTTATATATGTCAACAGAATGAGAAATGTTACTAAGAACATTGATCCACAAATCTAACCTATCAAGATGATCATTAGGTAGAAATTCAAAGAGTAAATGTAGAATATCAATAAATAAGGAATCCATTTATTACAAGGATGCTGCATAGGTTGGGTGTCTTACAAGGAATAACATGGTTTTGTAACAAACCAGCAGTCAAAGACTATGGAACCAACACAAAGACATGCAAATTAAGAAAACAAGTTTACCTATCAAATGAATTCCCATTGACAGAACTGTAAGGAGAAATAGCTGCATTGATTCTCCCTTTCAAATTGAATTTTTCTGCTATGATTGGTCTAACATCTTCAACTCCAACTAAACCCTCCAAAAACGGGAGCAACACAAGCAGTTCTTGGTCACAGGGATCATCAAACCAGCTCTCAATCGGTATACCGTTGTCCACTTGGAATCCAAATGCCTGAAAATTAAACCACGGTCGAGTTTAAGATTCGCACTTCAGTCCATAACAGAGCCCTATCACCGCTAGGCTAAGATTCAAGTATTCAAGTAGAATGGAAGGCACAACTTAATTAGTTGATCCTTTATGCTTCAGATTGTGTTGCAAAACAGGAATTTTATTACTTTTTCCCATCATTGAGGTCATTCCTTGTGGTTTAGATTTTGCCTATGCATACAGCATACTAAATTAAGTGAAACAACAAAGTGCAACTAAAATGATGTCCAAGTTAACAAAATGGCAGAAAGATAATGAAGGAAGAATTGGTAGAGTCTGTAAGAATACCTGAGGAGAGTTGTCAACAATAATGACATGTGCTAAATCACGGCCAAGAATTGATAAGTCTTTAAGGTAATTTCCATCAACAAATACACAGGAGTCACGGTAAACACGATGGCGAAACAACTTTCTCTTTGGATCTAGTACATTCAAAACCCGCTCAGCATAAATACTTTGGCTGGCTGTAAATATGATTATCTCAAAAAGGCTTGATACCCTCTCCAAAAAGTATTTGAGATGTGGGCGGCATCGTACATATACTGTATGGTCCTTCAAGTTGAAATTTACTGAAAATGTGAAATCAGCATCATCACAAGGTTCAAGTGTAGAGTGCACCAAGGTCTCTGTCAAATTTAACAATTCATGAACATCAGTTAATAATCATGAAACACAATTAGAAAGATGTGAAATGGAACTTCGGTTGTATGAAAAAGCAAAGTAGCAAATAATTTCTAGTCCGTACAAAACTCATCATTTTTTAAGCTTAATGAACTTCAAAGATGCATTTAATATCTCTGCACATAAACACTAGAATATGCACTTATATTTTGTTCAGTGAGTAATAGGTTGTTATCACATCCAAACTCACCATTCCATTATATCCAGGTAAAATATAATAGCAGTTTAGAAGTAATTCATCTCAATATAAACCAATTAAATAGTCAGTAAACATGAAGTGTGTGTGAATACAGCCTATACACATGCTGTGCAAATTAAAAGATGTGTACCATCCAAGTCCAACGCCAGAGTGGTCGAAGGGCAACTCCGTGTCTGCTTAGGCAAGAGCAGAGGCCTAAATGTTGGAACAACTGCCGACAAATCTGGCAAATTCTTGATGAAAAAATATGGATCAAAATCATCAAACTCTTCACTTTCAGTTTCCTCCATACTAATGTCAGTTTGCACTTGGTCTTGATTAAACTCATCTACACATTCCAACCTTGAATTTCTTAAAGTATGATACGTGGAGAAAACTTCAGGTGTGGGATTTTTACTCCCTAAATCTGCACAACAGCAGATGTCAAGACATTAACATAAGAAAAGAAGAATCCAAATATTGATATAAATTATTATCAGAAGAGTGGATCCTGTCTAGAATATGACATCTAGTCATGGCATCCTTACTTGATGAAATTTCTTGCACATGCCCATTCAGAATATCAGCCCCCATGTTCTCTTTGCCTCGGTCATCAAGTGGCTGGTCTCCATGTTGGAAGGGCTTAATCAACTCCACTGGAGAAAATTGTTGATAAAATTATTCAACAAAACTAGGCAGATACATGTCACAATACTGAAAATAACTGTTCACATCATTATGAAATCACACAATTCATTATATACCATTAGTTGAAATTTCTCCTGCAATACTTCTAGTAGTACGAAAGGCAGGAGAAAAAATTGCATCAGTTTGGCAATTAGCAGTTCCATCTTCATATCCCTACAAAATGACAGACATTAGTTAACTCCTCAATAAGAATTCCTTCAGAAAGATTCTGCTTCCAGGAACTTTCACAATAAACTAGTTTCAAAACAAATTGAGAATAACAAGAAAATTTCAAGTAGAAATCGAGTGAAAACATGCAGAAGAGATGTCACGCTACCTTGTTTTCAACAGAAGCATAATTAGTTTCGTAACCAACATCCTGACCCCAACAAATGTCGGCGGCATCATTATCCACCAATCTAAATCTTGAATCCAATTCTGTACCGGTAGCAGAGTTCTCATCCTTCTTTGAAAAGGTGTTGCCTAAAAGTATCAATAGGAAGAAGAGTAGGCCCAACTGTAAGTTCCCAATCAGTACAAATAGTTTACAAGTGTAAGAAGAGTAGATCTGACAGTAAGTTTCCAGTCTGTACAAATAGTTTATGCAAAACCATGTCAAATAAAATAATAGACTATTAGACTTTACAATCAAATGATCAATGTGGAATTTAGAAACAAAGGTTAAAGATCAACTGAGAAGTCTGAATATAACTCTGATATCAGCTTATTGAGTTGCTGACTATTTTCTTACATAATGATTGCAATCATCTCATTTATTTGTTAGCATTCACATATTGTGTATGGTAGGATAAAATGTGAATGAGGTCTGGATAAAATTACCAAGACATTGAAAATCATAGTGGATATCAAATATTCAAATTCTAACAAGGTGTGGATGCAACAACTTTATCCCCTTCTACATGAAATCGGAGAAAACAGATTTTATAGTTCAAACTCCAAGAAAGTAAGAAAGCCATGAATTTAAGTTTAAGAGCTATATCAACACACCACAATAAGCCAAATATAACTGGGCTATAGGTTGACTTTTGAAGTAAAGAGATGCAAATCCCAAAAAATTGAGAAAATCAAAACTATAGGCATCTGATCAACATATACTATCTGTTCAACCAGAGAGAGCACCAAAGTAAATGACTTAAGATAAAAACGCATTCCACTAAAGTCTGTGCACTACAATACAAAGGGATACACTAATACATCGCACTCCTATAGCATTTATTGAATTTTCAGCTATAGATCCCTTTGTAAAACAATCGGTAATGGCTCAATGAATCAAAATTCATGGGCACTGGTACATAACACAAGCCCTATAATTATAATACGAGTTCCAATATCCATATCCAACTAACCTGATTTTTGCTTCCTTGCTGAAGAGGTTATTAGGTCTGAAACTCTTTTTGACTGGTTTTGGCTGTTTTCAGACAATTTCTTCTGGTGTCTAGAAATCCTTGGACTCCCGAGCTCTGGAGCATTTTTTCCATCAACCTTTTTCCTGGTTTGCATAGCTACCTTGGGTAATAGAAATCTGATCCCACAATGAATTGTTTGAGCTCCAACAGAATTTATGAGTTAATCATTCCCTGTGAATGTTATACCAACAAATATTAGTTTCCTAAAAAGTACCATAGCCAAAATACTTAAAAGGTACAATAATAAATCATAGGAGTTAATTCCAGTTTTGGTCCCTCGACGATTGAGTTTTCTGACATTTAGTCATTGGCTTCAAAGTTGATCACATTTACTCCTTGACTTTTATTATTTTTTTTTTTTATCAGGAGGAAGGGGATGAAGCCCCACAGATTATTTTCTGCTAAAACAAACACTATGAGCCAAGGCACCGAGCCTGTCCTCCTCATAACACCCACGAGCATCGCCGGGTGGAGCACCAAACTCAATCCAATCACGCCCTTCCCGAACGGCAATCCTAGTCCAGTTTTGATCACATTTACTCCTTGACTTTTAAAATCTTGCAAGATTTTGTCCCCCGTCAGTGAAACTGTTGTGGCAATAAATCCTAGGGCATAAGGAATTTCCTTATAGTCATGCAGTTTTAAGCTTTTGGTGCTTTTTAGCTTGCACCAATTCTTAACTTCCAGTTTATAATTTCATGAGAATGATGACTGCAGAGAATTAGGAATTATAGAATTTTGAGTACACTGTTCTCCCCGTTTACGTTTTAATTGATAATTTTAACTGACGAATGTTACTGCCAGCAGGGTAAAAAGGCATGACTATAAGAAAATATCCTTATTTCCCCTATGATTTAGGAAGTTGCTAACAATTTGACTAATGGAAGACAAAATCTAGCAAACGTTTAAAAGTCAGGGACTAAATGTGGAAAAACACAATAGTCAAGGGACCAAAAGTGGAATTTACTCAAAATCATAGTAACACTGAATGTGGTCAGGTACTCAGGTTATAGTAATAGATTAGATAGTTGGATTAAGCCTGAACAAATTAAAAAGGAGCTGATAGTTGGAAAAACACAAATAAGATAATTAATATTCAGTAAAACAAATCCCATCCAATAGATGCAACAGAGTTGTTGACTGGAAACAATAATAAATAATAAAAACAAAGGCAATACTGGCAGGAAAATAGGACTCAAGGAGAAGTAGCCCTAGGTAATAATATGATGTATCCCACACTGTTCATTAGATTCACAATTACTAAAAGACAATACGTTAGAATGACATAATGTTGACATGAATCTAATTACCAGATGACAGATTTCCTTAACTATGAGATGAGAGATTTCTCAGATAAGGTTCATTTGCAAGCAGGCGTAGTTACACATTGAATAAATATCAAGAACTGTACTTTAAACTTTCAGGACACAGTAAGAATGGAGAAAAAAAAAAAAAAAAAAAAAAAAAAAGAGCTCTCTATCACCGACCACACTTAAGCAGCTGAAGTGTAAGCTTAAAAAAACTGTGCTTGCCATTCCAGAAAAAGTTCAATTTTTTCAATTTTCGGAGCAATTTTATAAAAAAGAAGCTAACTGGAAGAGCTCACTATCACTCTCCACAATCTAGCAGCTAAAGTACACAAAAAACACACGAATATCAGAGTTTCACAGGACAAAATATCAAACTCGCCATTTTCATAAAGGGATCTGCAGAGCATATCAAACATCATCTAATAAATAAATTTCAGATAGAAAGACCTAGACGCGAACGAAATTCAAAACCCTAAGATGATAAGATCAATGCAGATGAAGAATATCAACACAGCCAAACAAACCTGGAACAAACACACTCATACACACACAAATAAACGAATTTGAGCTAACGTGAAGTTCAGAAATTGGTACCTGAACTCGAAACTTGAAGAATCACAGCTCCGTAACTTCAGAATCCGTGCCTCGAAGTAAGAACAGTGCGCTCGGTGACAGAGGAGGGAGGGAAGGAGGGAGAGAGAGGGAAACAAAAATTAGGGTTTTTAAGATTTTAAGAGTGAATCTGAGTGGAGATCTTTAAAATTTTTGAAATTCCGCAGTTTTATGGAAATTGTTTTCCCTCCTAACGGACAGATAATTTTTAATTCTTTTTCTTTTTCTTTTAAGAAAAGCAATTAAAATTTTATTTCTGAATTATATTTTAACGCCACTCTTTTCAAAATGAACGATTATTTATGCTAGAAGCAATGGTCAAAAGAAGAAAGTTACTATAAAATCCATTGTTTCATTTGTTACAGTTTTATTTCAAATACAATAAAAGTAAACAAATATTATCCAAATCAATACTAAATCACTCAATATTTGATAAGATATATCATAAGTATATCACAATTTTTGTTATGTCTTTTACTGTTTATAAATATAAAAATTATTAATACTGGCTTCTTATCTTTTTTTAATACGTCATTCAATATCACTATGTCCATAGAGTTTGACTCTTACTCAAATAAAAATATGCTCCAAAACTCTTTTAACATAATGTGGTGTTTGGTAAATAGTTGTTAGCCGATTGGTTAATGGGTTTAGAAAGTTAATATCATTAGCTGATTTTCTGATTTAATTGATATCTGATTACATACAAAATGAATTTTTTCTCATAAAAAGTTATTGAAAAGGCTGTTTTTATTAATTTTTTGAATTTTAACATTTTGGAGCATATTGTTACAAAAAGCTAATTAATCAAACATTCATATTAATTGTTTAACCAAGTCAAACAATAAATACTGGTTAAATAAATAAAAATTAACTAATAAACTATGTTACCAATGAGGACCAATGTAATCTTTAGAGTAAATACCCAAATTGTCCCTCGATTATAGCTAAATTCACAAATTGGTCATCAACTTTCAATTTCACCCAATTAAGTCCTTAACTTTACAATTTTGACACGATTTGGTCCTCTATCTAATTGACCGTTTGTTGACCGTGATCGACGATCTCCAGAAGAACCTTCAGCTCTCGTCGGAGCACGTGGAGGCCTCCAGGATGACGTTGCACCGGTTCGGAAACACGTCGTCTTCTTCGCTCTGGTACGAATTGAACTACATTGAATCAAATGGGAGGATGCAGAAGGTGACCGGGTTTGGTAGATTGCTTTCGACAGTGGATTCAAATGTAACAGTGCGGTCTGGAAATACAACCGGAACCTTAAAAAACCGACGATGAACCATGAAATTACATATATATCCTCAAAAATCACAGTCAACAAACGGTCAAATAGACAGAGGACCAAATTGTGTTAAAACTACAAAGTTAAGGACTTAATTGAGTGAAATTGAAAGTTAAGGACCAATTTGTGAATTTAACTATAGTCGAGGGACCATTTTGGGTATTTACTCTAATCTTTACCCCGACCTTACAATTGCATTAACGATTTACTTATTTGTTGCATTATTTTGAATTATCGGAACTTTTTATATTCATTTTTCTATTCATAAATTGAATGCAATCATGTTATGTTGGGGGGTAAAAAAAAAAAAAAAAAAAAAAAAAAAGGTTCGTATACCATCATTGTTTGTAAATTAGTTCCCGAGTTAACTAGGTAAAATTTTGTAAAATGATACGGAGTAAAATAAAATAGAAATAAAAACAAATCAAGGCCTGAAGTGATGTCAATTGCTTTATTTGTCACGAAATACTATGAACAATTACATAATTGGCATTGAATGCAATAAATAGAATGGCGCAATAAATGGGTGATATCAAGTTTTTCCCAAACCATTTATTAACATTTTTTTGATTTGTAGACTTTTACTCTTTAAAAGAAAAACTAAAAATTTTACTTTTAATTACCAAAAACAATTTAACTCCAATTGTTATATTGTGCACCAGGGTGTACAAGGTATTGTGCGCCCTACCTGGTCCAAAACAACGTCGTTCCCTACCTGGTCCAAAACAACGTCGTTTTGTTAAGTTGTGTGGGAAGTTGACGTGACGGAGAATTATGTGTATTCTGTTATACAATTATGTACATTCTATTATACAATTATGTACATTCGAAATATGAGATTTTTTTAAGAGTTGAAAGGGGTACAAAACGACATCGTTTTCGACTTAATGTGCGTCATGTTAATATGCGTGAGTTTTGTACTTAATGTGCCTGAGTATTGTGTTTAATGTGCGTGAGATTTGTGCTTGTGCATGAGTATTTCAAAATTACGAGCTCAGAAGGAAGCAGAACAGAAACTCAACAGAAACCACAGAAACTCACGCACATTAACGCTCAAGCTTCTTGTTACTTCTTCCTTCAATTTGGCTGAATGCAGTTGAATGTTTATATAAATGACGCATGCACAGTAAAATTTGCACAGCAGCAAAGTGTGATTTCTGTTGTATTATTCCCATAATTCTTAACCACCATAGCTCATCTCCGCATCATCAGGGAGGGGCAAATGGCTACTGGGGATAGGGAAGAAGAAGAAGCTGACATCAATATTTTCATATTTTCTGCTGCATTACACATTCACGCACATTAAGTACAAATCTCAGGCACATTAAACACAACACTCACGCACATTGAGTACAAATCTCACGCACATTAATCCACCGCACATCCGCACGGGAACCTTTGTCACTTACCACCCACCAGTGAAATGTATTGCGGAAGTTAACAGTGTCTCTAAAAGCATTCGAGCAATAAGGGGACTCCACTGGTCGCCACTCTTCGCGGGTAAGGCTGGCAGAGAAGACTATTGAATGGCCAGAACCGCCAGAAAATCGGGAACCTTTGTCACTTACCACCCACCAGTGAAATGTATTGCGGAAGTTAACAGTGTCTCTAAAAGCATTTGAGCAATAAGGGGACTCCACTGGTCGCCACTCTTCGCGGGTAAGGCTGGCAGAGAAGACTATTGAATGGCCAGAACCGCCAGAAAATAATAAGACAGCCATGTAATCTCTAGTGCAGGAGTCGTAACATAGCCCTGCAAGAATAACTCATCTTGACTCCGCATAGGGCTGCTCGAGGACTTTTGTCGAACACCTGGTGGACGGGTTCCACAACAAAAGATCTCTCTCGGTCACCAGAAGCACAAGCCCGTTGCAATAACACAATTTAATATCGTATTTGTGGCTTTCACGAATCAGTGGATAACCCTCTCCGAACGGCCATTTATGCCTTTGAAGACGAAGATCATGGCCTGTGGATCTAACGAAGAATCTGGAATTCATGTACTTCGGCCGGCCTCTGATTCGTGCGAGAGGATGATCACTCGTCCTTGTCCACGATACGAGAGCTTGAAATCTGAGTCGTCTTGTATCAACGAACGCCACGATTTACATACACATTGAAACCGGATCAGAGACTTCATCGGCAACTGCAAAAGTATATCTCGTATGATGTGATTAGGTATGTTTGACAATGAAGCTGAAGCTTCCATGTCGCCTGCCACCTGCCAATAAGAAGATGAAGAAGAGTAGGAGGCGTATTGGAATTTGGAAGTAGGGTTTTCATTGTGAGGCTCTTTTTATAGGGCAATGGAGTACGTAAAACTTTTACCACAAGTCATCAAAATTAAATAAAATCTGTTACTTAATTTTTTATAATTAATAATAGCATTTTATGTTAGGCTGTCAAATTAATTATAGTTTTAACTCTTGAATGATAATGCATGTGTAATTTGTATTGCTAAATAATGTAAATAGTGTGTGTATTTTTATTTTTTATTTTAAACGTACACGGAGAATTTATCAAATTAAATGTTCAATACATGATAAAATAGATAGACTTTTACAGAATTTGGTGTACTTTAAAAAGTTTGGAGATATTCAATTCAAATTTTTTAGAAAGTTATCAATCAATTTTTTTAAAGAGTTTTTCAAGTGATATTTGATTAAGACTTTTAAATAGTTTTAAAGAGTCATGCGATATTAAAAAAGTTACGAACTTTTATAGATTTTTTATTTTATTTTAAAATTTTTATAAACTTTTCCTTCTCAACTATAAATTGTTGAAACCTTGCTTGTAGACATAATTTAGATTTTGTAATGATCATAATTGGTGTAACTTTGAAACTTACACATCTGTATGTATTGGAGCATTGGCTTCAGAGATTTAGAATGGTTGTCATTTACCCTGCCTTTTTTTTTTTTTTTTTGCCAGGCCAGCAAAACAAACTAGATTTCATTATCAAAATTCAAAGCACTTACATTTACCCTGCCTTTTAAGGCTTAGGTTTTGATATATTACTAGAATTATGGTCGTTAATGGGTACGGGTAATCAGTAATCTAAGCTGCTTTCACATGCAAAAAAGAAATTAAACCAAAAAACAGCGCAGATTAGCTAGGCTTTCAAGTTACATTCTTTATGCATGCCTAAATAGTAAATACACACACTTTTGTATTAATCTGTAATATCTGATTGCTTAACTTTGAACCTTCCTCCAAAGAATGGCCATTTAAGCTAGAAAATTAAGAAATGTTGGAATGGTCAAATAACAAAGTCTGAACACAAACTGAACCGAACTATATATACATAATGGTTTCACTTTTAACATATATAGTAAAAAAAATGTGCAAATAGTTTCAACATAATGTTTATTGCAGAGGCATTCGGCGTAACCAATAATATACTCTGTGCATTAACAAATATATCAAGCAACATACTAATCAGCTAACTAGCTAGCTTCTTTAGGAACAAACTAACTTATTTAAAAGCTCCAAATAGTTTCAACAGAATGTTTATTGGGACAACAATCCACTGTGGCCAGGCCAGGCAAGACTCTCAACATAGAAACACGTACTAACAATGTATCTCCGACTTGTGGTAGTCAGGAAGTCCGTCAAAACTTTCTTCCGTTCATCTTTTTTTATATCATAAACAAATACTTGCAGCATATATAAACCCGGCACGATATGCAGGAATAATACTTCTTTTTTTCATCTTTTTTTAGAGAATAGAATATTAATGTGGAGCGGATATACCTATTTGTAATTTCAGGCAATTGGATAGCAAATGTGGAGCGGATATACCTAACTGATAGCTGCAGAACTCGTATGACCTCGTTTGATTATTGTTCTGTTAAGTTTGTTTCTAGATCAGATAATTTTATAGTATGCTCATACTTGAGCCTCTACTGCTTTTACACAACTACTACTATGTATTGGGACTCTGCCCCGCCATACTCTATTTCGGCTTATTTTGAATAAATGCGTTATGGCTCCTTTAAAAAAAATTAGAAACTTACACATTTGTATGTATTGGAGCATTGGGTTCAGAGAGGGTAACTTTGAAACTTACACATTTGTATATGTATTGGAGCATTATTGGCTTCTGAGAATGGCTGTCATTTACTCTGCTTTTAAGGCTTGGGTTCCGATATATTATTAGAATTATGGTCGTCAATATGGACTGGTAATATAAGCTTCTTTCACATGAAAAAAAGAAAAAAGAAAAAAGAAAAAAGCTTAGGCTTTCAAGTTACATTCTTTAATTTATGTCTAAATAGTAAATACACAAACTTTTGTATTAGAGTTCTACTACATGTATTCCTAAATTATACTTACTTTTATTTCATAATGTGACAAATAATGATAGGATATCTTTAATACATAGTATATAATTATATTGGTCAACTTTGAACTTTAATTTCCTCCAAGTAATGACCATTTGAACTTGAAAAATCCAGAAATATTGGAATGGTCAAATAACAAAGTCCCAACAAAACTGAATCTGAGTCAAAACCAAACATTTTCAAGATAAAAAGAATGGTTTCCGTTTTCAAAAATTATCCGGTGCAAGTACGGCACAATGCCTAATCCTAAAAATAGTAATAAAAAAATGTTGTAGTTTTTAATTGTTATTTTATTAAAATGATATTTGTATATTTGTAGTTAAAAAAAAAAAAAAAAAAAAAAAACTCTAAATAGAACTATAATAATGTAAATAAGAATTAACTTGAAAATAAATACAAGATGGAAAAAATAGAGTACCAATAATATACACTGTGCATTAGCAAATCAAGCAACATATATACTAATCAGCTAGACTCTTTAGGAATAAACTTGATAAACTAAGTTACGTAAAAGCTCCAAATAGTTTCAACAGAATATAATGTTCATTGGGACAACAATCCAGTGTGGCCATGGCAAACAAGACTCTCAACATAAAAGCACATACTAACAATGTATTTATGTGAGGTTAGGATGTCCATCAAAACTTCCTTTAGTTCGTCCTTTTTTCGATCATAAACACATACTTTTTTCCTAGGCCAACCCGATGTACTCAGGAACAATATTTCATGCGCATCCTTTTTTAGAGAATAGAATGTTATTGAGTTGTCGTCATACCCTCCAAAAGTATCTATAAATTCAGACGTTTGGATAGCAAATGCAGTCATCCATGATTCTTGTCTTCCATATTCTTTCATAATCAATACTTGTATCTTGTTTGGGTTGACTTCTTCATGTGCCATGCAAAAATAGTCATTTATAACCCCCAACCCGACTATCAAGTATTCTTGTCCGTGCCTTAGTTTGGGGGTGGGTAAGTTTCTGAATTCATCACGGATTGGATCAAAATATATAATCTTATCACACGATGGCAAGAAATCCCAATCCTGATGATATTTGGTGTCACTTATCACCCACCAGTGAAATGTATTGCGAAAGTTAACACCGTCTCTAATAGCATCCGAGCAATAAGGGAACTCCACTGGTCGCCACTCTTTGTGGGTAAGGCTAGCAGAAATGACTAATGACTGGCCAAAACCGCGGGAAAGTAATAGGACAGCCTTGTAATCTCTAGTGCAGGAGTTGAAACATAGCCCGGCAAGGATAACACTTCTTGGCTCCGCATATGGCCCCTCGAGGACTTTCGTCGAACACCTGGTTGATGGGTTCCACCACAAAAGATCTCTCTCAGCCACCACAAGCACAAGCCCGTTACAATAACACAATTTAACACCGTATATGTTGCTTTCACGAATCAATGGATAACCCTCTCCGAACGGCCATTTATGCCTTTGAAGACGAAGATCATTGCCTGTGGATCTAACGAAGAATCTGGAATTCCTGTAGTTCCGGCCTCTGGATTCGTGCGTGAGGATGAGCAGTCGTCCTTGTCCACGATACGAGAGCTTGAAATTGTCGTCTTGTATCAACGAACGCCACCGTTTGCATACGCATTGGCATCGAATCACAAACTTCACCGGCAACTGCAAAAGTATATGCTGAATGATGTGATTAGGTATGTTTGACAAGGAAGCTGAAGCTTCCATGTCGCCTGCCAATAAGAAGATGAAGAAGAGTAGGAGGCGTATTGGATTTGCATTGTGGGTCTCTTTTTATACGGAAATGGAGTAAGTAAAACTTTTACGACAAGTCATAACTTTTGCGACAAGTCATAACTTTTGCGACAAGTCATAAAAATTAAATAAAATCTGTGACTTAATTTTTTTAAAAATTAATAATTGCATTTTATGGTAGGCTGTCAAATTAATTATAGTTTTAACTCTTGAATGATAAATTGATAATGCATGTGTACTTTTTATCGCTAAATCTTAACTATAATAAAGCTATATGGTTGGGAAGTAATTAATGTTACAATTAATGCCACAACATCTTTTATTAAAAAAAAAGTATAAAATTTGAAAAATAAAATAGCTATATATTATATAATCATATAAAAATGTAATTTTGAAAAATAAAATAGTTATATATTATATAATCATATAAAAAATGTGTTCAATTAGAGTTTAAATTTACTCATACAAAATTTGAAATTTGCTTTCCAAATGTAATTATCTTAGTTATTATTCGTATTGTACGTGAAAATTATAATATAGATGAAATACAATTTAGAATAAATAAATGTAATTATGTAAATTCTCTCTATAAGTTTATTTAAATATGTACATAATTAGAGATTATATTAACACACAAAATTTTAATTTTAATTTTAATTTTAATTGTAATTTTGTATTCTAAAAAAATAATAAATACTTGACTAATGGAAGCTCAAAAATATTATTATATTAAACAATTTAAAATATTTTAGTTTTTATATTTTTATTTATATTTATAATAACATAATTTTTTCCCGTGCATCGCGCGGGTGAATTACTAGTAATATAAATGGTAATAGTATCATGCATATAATTAGTTATCAATTTGGTGTATGTATTGTTATTTTTTATTTTAAACGTACAAGCAAAGAATCTATACTTCTATATATATACTATATATAAAAATAAAATCCTTAATTTTAACTTTTCGCTTAATTCCTTAAAAAATCTCTTTCTAATAAAATATATTGTTTTCTGCTTTCCTATTCGTAGTATAATTCTACGTTAAAATTCATATTCTAATCTATACTATATATATAAAAACAAAATCCTGAACTTTTACTTCCAGCCCGATTTCTAAAAAATCTCTCTTTCTGATAAAAATATATCGTTTTCTATTTTCCTATTCGTACTATAATTCTAGGTTAAAATTCATATTCTAATATTATAAAATAGTCTAATATCCTATTCTAATCTATACTTCTATACTATATATAAAAACAAAATCCTGAACTTTAACTTCCAGCCCAATTCCTAAAAAATCTCTCTTTCAGATAAAAATATATTGTTTTCTACTTTTCTATTCGTACTATAATTCTAGGTTAAAATTCATATTCTAATATTATAAAATAGTGCTTGCATTGTGAGGCTCTATTTATAGGGCAATGAAGTACGTAAAACTTTTACCGCAAGTCATAAAAATTAAATAAAATTGTAATTTTTAATATAGAGTATGAATCTCACTCTCAAAAAGTATATCTTCAACACACGTTGTGCATAGATTGGTGAGGTGAAATAGGTTTAATGATGAGAATTTTCACTTAAAATTTGCTTTTAGTTATAGGGTGCGATGTAATTCCTGTCACAAAAATTTGGTGTTTGAGTTTGGGTGGGACTGTGGAACTTCTTGCATGTGTGCATAAGTATCAAGTTTGGTGTTAAGTCTTGCAAATATATTGGGAGAGAATTAATATAGACTACATTATAGTTTGGCAAAGTGGAAAACCTGAGTTATTATTTATAAAATAACTAGTTTTTTACGCGCATTGCGCGATTGAGATAATGCCCAATATTTTTTTTTAATAAGTACTTTAAAGTATATCAAGACAAAATTATATTGGAATTGTTCATGCATAGATAATTGAATGTTGAATTTGCGTATTTAAATAAGTAATTCTAAGTTTACAAATGCAAGATAATATAGTCAAGATTGATTATAATTGTCAATAAAATAATTGTATAGGTATGGTTGAAACCAAATATGGGACATAAAGGAGAGAAAATAAAAATTAGGGCATAAAATATTAAATATACACTAATATTGAAGAGCTAACTATTGATTGTCAAACAAGGACATTGCGAGGTAGTTTTCCACTTCAATTTGTTGTGTGATTTGAATACTCTTTTTGTCAATAAATCCACCAAGTAGTTAATATGATTGGCTTAAATAATATTTTTATTTTTTAAAAATTATTATTATTATTATTATTATTATTATTATTATTATTATTATTATTATTAAATATATGTATACCCTTATGTCATTTTACATGTTAATCTAAACATCTAATTTTTTCAAATATCTTTTTTACCAACCGTTGATATAATTTGCTGGTCAAATCCGCTAACGCTAACCGCTAACTGTTGATTGTCAAACTATGACATTACGAGATAGTTCTCACTTCAATTTGTTATGTGATTTGAATACTCTCTTTGTCAATAAATTCCTCAAGTAGTTAATATAATTGACTTTATTAATTATTTTTTTAATTTTTTCATGGTATTAACAAAATACTTGGTAAATAAATATATAACATTATTTTGCATTATAACTTTGATATTTAATTTAAAAAAAATAATGCACAAAAAAAGATAATAGACAATGTAGTGAATATAATCAATTGATCAATTGAATGTAAAGAATTTTGCATTGGAGAAAAATAAAGACAATATAACTAATAAAATTATTTCTCTTAATTAATTTATTGATAATGAATATATTTTTTTAATAAAGACATTGTAGTGACAATGTAGTGAATATAACCAATTGATGAATTTGAATGTAAATAATTTTTATATTGGAGAAAAATAAAGACAATATAACCAATGAAATTATTTTTCTTATTTAATTTATTGATAATGAATAATTTTTTTTTAAATAAAAATATTGTAGACACATAATTCTAAATTTAAAAAATGCATATGTATTATTTTTTGTCGTATCTACTGAATTATTATTTTAATTTAATAAGAATAAAATAGAGTACTAATTATGACAATTTTGATTGAGATGAGATTCGAACCTAAGACCTTTCTTATTAAAATCAATGAGTAAGTTAACGGTGAACTAACAGAAATTAACGGAAAAACTAATATTTAACGGAAAAGTTAACGGATAATCATATTCATTAAAGATAAATTAGAAAATCTTAAGGAAAAATTAAAATCTGATCAATCTCAGTCATTCATTTGATTAAAAAATTAAATCTGATCAATCTCAGTCATTCATTTGATTAAAAAATTAAATCTGATCAATCTCAGTCATTCATTTGATTAAAAAATTTGACCGACATTTTTTAAAGGGCTAACTGGTATGATATAATGGGTCTAACTGGTTATTTCCTTCTATTTTGGCATACTTACATGAATCTCCGAATCACTTTTGAATCGTCTTTAACAATAAAGGTGGGTTGTTCAGTGCTGTTCAATTTTGATTTGTTACTGAAAACTAAACTATTTTAAAATTGAACCGAAAATGAACCTATATATGGTCGTTAATGGGTACCGGTGCTTTCACATGAAAAAAAAAAAAAAAAAATTAAACCAAAAAAAAGCGCAGATTAGGCTTTCAAGTTACATTCTTTATGCCTAAATAGTAAATACACACTTTTGTATTAATCTGTAATATCTGATTGCTTAACTTTGAATTTTCCTCCAAAGAATGGCCATTTAAGCTAGAAAATTAAGAAATGTTAAAATGATCAAATAACAAAGTCTGAACAAAACGATAGTCAGTCAAAATCAAACTTTTTCAAACTGAACCCATCTATATATACAAAATGTTAAACATAATGCTTTCACTTTTAACATAGTAAAACAAATGTGCAAATAGTTTCAACATTGCAGAGGCATTCTGAGTAACCAATAATATACTCTGTGCATTAGCAAATATAATCAAACAACATACTAATAGCTTCTTTAGGAATAAACTAACTTATTTAAAAGCTCCAAATAGATTCAACAGAATGTTTATTGGGACAACAATCCACTGTTGCCAGGCCAAGCAAGACTCTCAACATAGAAACACGTACTAACAATGTATCTACGACCTGTGGTAGTCACGAAGTCCGTCAGAACTTCCTTCCGTTCATCTTTTTTTATATCATAAACAGATACTTGCAGCCCATACCAACCCGGCACGATATGCATGAATAATACTTCTTGTACATCTTTTTTTAGAGAATAGAATATTAATGTGGAGCGGATATGCCTATTTGGAATTTCAGGCAATTGGATAGCAAATGCAGTCATCCATGATTCTTGTCTTCCATACTCCTTCATAATCAATACTTGTATCTTGTTAGTTTTGATTTTGTATTCTTCTCCCAGCACTGCCATGCAAATACAGTCATCTATAACTCCCAACCCGACTATCAACTTTTCTCTTCCGTACCTTAGTCCGTACCTTCGTTCGGAGATTATGAAGTGCCTTAGTTCATCGGGAGTGGGCAAGATTCTGAATTCATCACACACAGGATCAAAATAAATGATCTTATTACCCGACGACGAGAAACCCAAACCCACATCGTCATATTTGTAATCACTTACCACCAACCAGTGAAATGTATTGCGGAAGTTTACACCGTCTCTAATAGAGTCCGGGCAATAAGGGAACTCCACTGGTCGCCACTCTTTGTGGTTGAGGCTGGAGATGACTAATGAATGGCCAAAATTACTGCCATTAAGTAATAAGACGGCCTTGTAATCTGTAGTGCAGGAGTCGTAACATAGCCCTGCAAGGATAATCTTAGGATATAGATCTGGAAATCGATATGGCCGCTCGAGGACTTTCATCGAACACCCGGTGGACGGGTTCCACAACAAAAGATCTCTCTCAACCACCAAAAGCACAAGCCCGTTGCAAGAACACCATGTAACAAAGTATTCGTGTCTTGGACGAATCAATGGACAACCCTCTTTTAACGGCCATTTATGACTTTGAAGACTAAGATCATGGCTTGTGGATCTAACGAATAATCTGCGATTCCGGTTTCTCCGGCCTTTGGATTCATTCGAGAGGATGAGAAGTCGTTCTTGTCCACGATACGAGAGCTTGAAATCTGAGTCGTCTTGTATCAACGAACGCCACCATTTACATACACATTGAAACCGGATCAGAGACTTCATCGGCAACTGCAAAAGTATATCTCGTATGATGTCATTAGGTATGTTTGACAATGAAGCTGAAGTTTCCATGTCGCCTGCCAATAAGAAGCTGAAGAAGAGTAGGAGGCGTATTGAAATTTGGAAGTAGCTAGGGTTTGTGAGGCTCTTTTTATAGGACAATGGAGTAAATTAAAACTTGCACCACAAGCCATAAAAATTAAATAAAATCTGTGACTTAATTTTTTTAAAAAATTATTCATAGCATTTTATGTTAAGCTGTCAAATTTGTTCGCGTAGCAATAGGAAGAAAATCTGCTGCAAAAAATATGACGTGGAATATAATTAATTGAGCTAAAAAAATCAAGAAATGTTGGAATGGTCAAATAACAAAGTCTAAACAACCAAATACCTTGTGGTTTAATGGTATCAGGTTGCTATCTTATGTGAGAGATGATAGGTTCGAGTTTCAGTATGGTGATTATTAATATAATAGATAGATAGATTGTATACCCAAAATTGAACCCAACTATATATATATATGTTATTTTATTAAAATGATATTTGTATATCTTTAGTTAAAAAATAAACAAAACGAACAAAACAAAACTCTAAATAGAACTATAATAATGTAACTGAGAATTAACTTAAAAATAAATACAAGATGGAAAAAAAATAGAGGCATTTGGGGTTAGCAATGATACATACTCTGCATTAGCAAGTCAAGCAACATACTAATCAGCTAGCTTCTTTAGGAATAAACTTGTAAACTAAGTTATGTAAAAGCTCCAATAACTAGTTGCAACAGAATGTTCATTGGGACAACAATCCATTGTGGCTAGGGCAAGCAAGACTCTCAACATAGAAACACATACTAACAATGTATCTACGATAACCTGAGTCCAGAAAGTCCATCAAAACTTCCTTTAGTTCGTCTCTTTTCCGATCATAAACACATACTTGCTGCCCACGCAAACACGAGGTACTCAGGAATAATACTTCTTGTGCATCCTTTTTTAGAGAAGAGAATGTGATTGTGTTGTCATGCCTTCCAAAAGCATCTGGCTTTTGGATAACAAACGCAGTCATCCATGATTCTTGTCTGCCATATTCCTTCATAATCAATACTTGTATCTTGTTTGTTTTGGTTTCTTCACATGCCATGCAAAAACAGTCATCTATAACCCCCAACCCAACTATCAAGTTTTCTCTTCCGTGCCTTAGTTCTGGAGTGAGCAAGTTTCTGAATTCATCACGAACAGGATCAAAATATATGATCTCCGACGACGGCGGCAAGAAATCTCAACCCTGATATTTGATGTCACTTACCACCCACCAGTGAAATGTATTGCGGAAGTTAACACCGCCTCTAATAGAATTCGGCAAGAAACTATAAGGGAAGTCCACTGGTCGCCACTCTTTGTGGTTGAGGCTGGCAGAGATGACTAATAATGAATTGTTAAAATTGCAGTAAAGTAATAGGACAACCTTGTAATCTCTAGTGCAGGAGTCGTAGCATAGTCCTGCAAGGATAACCCTTCTTGACCCCCAATATGGTAGCTCGAGGACTTTCGTCGAACACCTGGTGGACGGGTTCCACAACAAAAGATTTCTCTCAGTCACCAGAAGCACAAGCCCATTGCAAGAACACAATCTAACAAAGTATTTGTTGCTTGCACGAATCAATGGATAACCCTCTCCGAACGGCCATTTATGCCTTTGAAGACGAAGATCATGGCTTGTGGATCTAACGAAGAATCTGGTGAATTCGGGCCCGAGGATGATCACTCGTCTTTGTCCACGATACAAGAGCTTGAAATCTGAGTCGTCTTGTATCAATGAACGCCACTGTTTACATACGCATTTGCACCGGATCACAGACTTCACCGACAACTGCAAAAGTATATGTCGAATGATGTGATTAGGTATGTTTGACAATGAATCTGAAGCTTCCATGTCGTGCCTGCCAATAAGAAGCTGAAGAAGAGTTACGAGGCGTATTGGAATCTTGAAAGTAGGGTTTGTGAGGCTCTTGAATGATAATGCATGTGTAATTTGTATCGCTAAATAATATAAATGGTAATAGTATCATATAATTAGTTATCAATTTGGCATATGTATTTAGGGTTCATTCAATCTTAACTTTCATAAACTTTTAAAGAATTTTTAAAACTTTAAAGATATTCAATTCAAACTTTTAGAAAGTTTTCAATCAAAATTTTTAAAAAGTCTTTCAGATGATATTGGATTAAGACTTTTAAATAAATTTTGAGAGTATTTCAAAAAAGTTATGAACTTTTATAATTATTTTTTTTTTAGAATTTTGTTTACTTTTCATTCTCAAATATAAATTGTTGAAATTCAACCCTCAACCCCTAGATTTCAAATTTTCTTCTTTTTACCAAGTCTGAATATTTTCTTTCTCCCTATTTAAACTCTATAAACCTTATACTTAAATTTAATAAATTATTTTTCTTCATATCCTATATTTTCTTCATACCTAAACTGTAATCTACAAATTTTTTCTCTTTCCTAAACGTTACAATCTTCCTCTAAACATTGTGATTATATACTCAGTGTATACCATCGAATAATGGCTGAGAATTTTTCTCATTATTCAAAAAAATATGGCCATTAAATTATAGGCAGCTGCCAATGTTGAAATTCAAAGGAGCCATGGGAGCTCCAACAAGCATGCACAACATATTGTACTGTGATCGATTTTATGAAGATTTTACCACACTAGTATGTCATTTGCGATTTATGCATGGATAGTTCGTAACATATATTCAATAATCATATTATTTATAAAATCTATATAGTGCAAAATAAATAAATAAATTATCAAAATATTATATAATATTCTAACAATCTCTAATTATAATAAATTATGCATGATACCTTGTATCAAATTTTGCATTATAATGAATTAGTCTTGGAATTAAATAGACAAAAGATCACGTGTGTTGATTATTACGAATAGTAATAATAATAATTTACATTCTCTTTTTCAAAAAAAAAAATTACATTCTCAAATATATATTAATCCCAATAGCATTGATATTGTCATCTTGTTAGCTAGGGTTTAATGACAAAATATATCTTGGTCCAGTGTCTTCCATTTATATAGTTTTAAATAAAATAATAAAATATAATAAAAGTCGATAATGTTAGGTATATAACGAGAATAAAAATGTGTTAGTGTAATAGATTGCATGCATTAAAGACTTGTTCATTATAATCTCTCTATTATACTAATACAAATAATTTCCAATTTTATCCCTCATCAATAAAGTTTTTTCTTAACGCCGTTAAATATCACCATTAAGCTAAGTCATAATTAATTGAAATAAAATTACTAGAATAAAATTGTAAGAATTGAAAGAGTGTGATTAAAAAATAAAACACTTAGATGTCGAGTCATAAATATTGTTGACTATAAATGAAAAGTCAAAATAGTGAAATACATCAAAACACGATTTAAAAGAATATTAAAAACAAGATATGAAATATAATTAATTATATAGAATAGTTCAAACAAATCAGAAAACACATTATAAATCACTTATCTCAATATTAATATTTTTTTAAAAAATTAAATTTAAAAATCCACAATGTTACAAATAAAAATTCCAATTAACTTCAAATATTTAAGATAAAATCGTATATAAAGGTAACACAAAAAGATATTTTTAATAATTACTCTACATAGAACTATAATATACACTCATCCCGGCCTTGTCATGTTTAAAATATATTACTATTAGGACTCTATGTATTTGAGTTCGATTATGATTTTCTATCATAGTATTTCTATAATTCTCTCTTTGTATATATTCTCATTCTTGTATCTATTGTACGTAATTCAACTCATTCAATACAATTGATACAGTTTTTAGTATGAGCTAGCTAGAGTTTCTTTTCAATGACCGACGGATCTGTCAATTCCGCTAATAAAAATAAACTTAAAACATAAACAACAAAATAAATTTATATAAGATCGAGTTATCAACATAATGATAAATTGTGGCTGATTATCAACAAAATAGCACACTAATTAATTAGCTTCTAGCAACTCCAAACGAAATATTCATTACTAGGACATGTAATTAATTAATCATGTGGTAGGGGCAAACAAGACTTAACATAGAAAAATATACTATTAGGGTGTGTGTGGTTCGTAGGTTTACATACTAAGAATGATAATTAAAATCATAGTCAATGTTTGGTTGACAATTTTATAAAACACAACTATGAGATTTGATTACCTCTTAAATTAAAAACTCATTCCCTAATTTTTTTTTAAAAAATGTATCATTTTATCTTATTAGTAATATGATATTTAAGTTTAGATTAGTGCTTTTAAATTTTTGTTTTGATTTTTTTTTATCATTTTGGTACGTCATTATATTATGATCAAATGCCTTTTTAAAACCTTTATTCCCGTTATAGGGTCATACATATCAAAATATCAATATGTCAGGTTATCAAATTATAGTTTTAGTTCTAAAATTATAAAACACGCCTTAATTAATATAAAGTTACAATTGTATCATATAATTACTCAGTCATTTTGTGTATTTAATCTTTATTTGTATGGATGGAATTATCTATACTATATATAAAAACAAAATCCTGAAATTTTAACTTCCCGCCAAATTCCTAAAAGATCTCTCTTCCTAAAAAATATATTGATTTCTACTTTCCCATTCGTACAATAATTCTGCGTTAAAATTCTATTCTAATATTATAAAATAGTGTAATACAATCTGTACTATATATAAAAACAAAATCCTGAAATTTTAACTTCCCGCCCAATTCCTAAAAGATCTCTCTTCCTAATAAAATATATTGATTTTTACTTTCCCATTCGTACAATAATTCTTCGTTCAAATTCTATTCTAATATTATAAAATAGTGTAATACAATCTATACTATATATAAAAACAAAATCCTGAAATTTTAACTTCCCGCCCAATTCCTAAAAGATCTCTCTTCCTATAAAATATATTGATTTCTACTTTCCAATTCGTACAATAATTCTGCGTTAAAATTCTATTCTAATAATATAAAATAGTGTAATACAATCTATACTATGTATAAAAACAAAATCCTGAAATTTTAACTTCCAGCCCAATTCCTTAAAGATCTCTTTTCCTATAAAATATATTGATTTCTACTTTCCAATTCGTACAATAATTCTGCGTTAAAATTCTATTATAATATTATAAAATAGTGCAATACAATCTGTACTGTGTATATAAAAACAAAATTCTGAAATTTTAACTTCCCGCCCAATTCCTAAAAGATCTCTCTTCCTATAAAATATATTGATTTCTACTTACCATTCGTACAATAATTCTGCGTTAAAATTCTATTCTAATATTATAAAATAGTGTAATACAATCTATACTATATATAAAAACAAAATCCTGAAATTTTAACTTCCCGTCCAATTCCTAAAAGATCTCTCTTCCTAATAAAATATATTGATTTTTACTTTCCCATTCGTACAATAATTCTTCGTTAAAATTCTATTCTAATATTATAAAATAGTGTAATACAATCTATACTATATATAAAAACAAAATCCTGAAATTTTAACTTCCCGCCCAATTCCTAAAAGATCTCTCTTCCTATAAAATATATTGATTTCTACTTTCCAATTCGTACAATAATTCTGCGTTAAAATTCTATTCTAATAATATAAAATAGTGTAATACAATCTATACTATATATAAAAATAAAATCCTGAAATTTTAACTTCCCGCCTAATTCCTTGAAGATCTCTTTTCATTTAAAATATATTGATTTCTACTTTCCAATTCGTACAATAATTCTGTGTTAAAATTCTATTCTAATATTATAAAATAGTGTAATACAATCTGTACTATATATAAATACAAAATCCTGAAATTTTAACTTCCCGCCCAATTCCTAAAAGATCTCTCTTCCTAATAAAATATAGTGAAAATTGTAAAAAATGCCCCTCTATAATATGCCAATTACCAATGTCACCCCTGAATTATGAATGGTGTAAATGTTGCCCCTCAATTATTAAAATGGTGTACATATAGCCCCTCCCGTAACGGACATGTGGTTCCCCGTTAGTGTACGACACCGTTAAGTCGGAGTAAATATGTAATTTAGTTTTTTTTTTCCCTCCCTCGATTCGAAGTACCAACAATGGACAGCGGTGGGGAACCACAGGTCCGTTACGAGAGGGGCTATATGTGCACCATTTGATAATTGAGGGGCAACATTTACACCACTCATAATTCAGGGGTAACATTGATAATTGACATATTATAGAGGGACATTTTTTACAATTTTCCCTAAAATATATTGATTTTTACTTTCCCATTCGTACAATAATTCTTCGTTAAAATTCTATTCTAATATTATAAAATAGTGTAATACAATCTATACTATATATAAAAACAAAATACTGAAATTTTAACTTCCCGCCCAATTCCTAAAAGATCTCTCTTCCTATAAAATATATTGATTTCTACTTTGCAATTCGTACAATAATTCTGCGTTAAAATTCTATTCTAATAATATAAAATAGTGTAATACAATCTATACTATATATAAAAACAAAATCCTGAAATTTTAACTTCCCGCCCAATTCCTTAAAGATCTCTTTTCCTATAAAATAAAATATATTGATTTCTACTTTCCAATTCGTACAATAATTCTGCGTTAAAATTCTATTCTAATATTATAAAATAGTGCAATACAATCTGTACTATATATATAAAAACAAAATCCTGAAATTTTAACTTCCCGCCCAATTCCTAAAAGATCTATCTTCCTATAAAATATATTGATTTCTACTTACCATTCGTACAATAATTCTGCATTAAAATTCTATTCTAATATTATAAAATAGTGCAATACAATCTATACTATATATAAAAACAAAATCCTGAAATTTTAACTTCCCGTCCAAT